GGGGGGTGGGGGGGAGGGCTCCTGCACACACATGTAGAATACCAGGGCCACGAAGCCTACCAGGCTGGTTGGGCTTTTCAGTGCATCTCTGCTTGACTTGGTTTGGCCTCGGAGCCTCTATGTGGTAACCATCTCTCCCATTTTCCAGGTGGGTTTGTTCCCAGTTTCCCGGCTACCGAGGTTTTCAGTACATACTGGAGAGTGATCACCACTCTGGTGACTACAAGCACTTCAGGGAGTGGGGCTCCCATGCCCACACCTTCCAGGTGCAGAGTGTCCGCAGGATCCAGCAGTGAGCCCGCACCTGCGCACCGGGGTGCCTTCGTGAACAACTGAGTGACTGGCTGGAGATGTGGCTGTTCTTTCTGGCTACCCCCATGTCGCACCCTGGGAACCCTGCACCCCTGTCAGCCAGCCCATGCCCCGCCAGGTCACAAAGCTCAAAGAAATAAAATTACAAACAAAAGGCCCAGCGTCAGTTGTGCTTGTCAATTTTACCTGCCTTCCTGGTGAAGCAATTTGTAGCTTTATAAAATTTCTGTCATTTGTCTATTCTTCCTTCCTTCCTTCCTTTCTTTCTTTGCTTTTTTGAGACAGGGTTTCTCTGTGTAACAGTCCTGGCTGTCCTGGAACTTGCTTTGTCAACCAGGTTGGCCTCAAACTCACTAAGATCTGACTATTATGTGTCTGGGTGTTTTGGCCTCATGCAGGTCTGTGCACCATCTGTGTGTAGTGCTCATAGATGGCAGAAGAGGGCATCGGGTCCCCTGAGACAGTTGTGAGCCTCCATGTCCATGCTGGGAATTGAACTTGGGTCCTCTGGGGAAAGTCACTCATACAGTCTGCCAGCATTCACACTCAGACCAGAGGAAGGCTCTTTACCATCCTCTGAGCCTGGCCCAGGGCAAGGCTTCAACACTTCCATGGTCTGAGCCATTGGTTCTTGACATTTCATGCCCTTGTCAACAATACACACTCACTTGGGGCTTCCCCAGCTCCCTGCAAGGGAGGGTCTCTCAATCAAACCCAGATCTCCCAAATAAAGATAATCTTTGCTTCCTTAACTGGGCCTTCCCTTCTCACAGGCTACCATGCCCGCTCGGCATTCACACAGGTTCTGGAGATCTGAACTTGAGTCCTCAGGCTTTTGTGGCACATGCTTAGCCACTGAGTGCCCCATTGAGAGTGTCACTGTATGGCCCAGGTTGCCCCAGGGCCACCATCCTCTTGGGTTTTGCTAGGATTTAGTCATAAAACGTTCTGCTTATTTTCTGTGTGTAAGTTACAGGGATTAGACTGAAGTCCCAAGCATGCTAGGCAAGTGGTTTACAAATGGGCTCTATCTCGCCCTGTTTTGTCTATTTATGATACATCTTCCTCTCCTAAGACTATTGATAAACCAAGTATCATGGTACATGCTTGTTAGGATCAGCACTCAAGAGACTGAGGCAAAAGGATTGCTATGGAGTGGCTTGTGGGTTCTTCCTGAACCACCTCTCTCTTTCTCTCGGGCCCGTGGCGCCGGCAAGATGGGCAAGTGTCGTGGTCTCTGTACTTCCAGGAAGCTCTGCAGTCACTGGCGGGACCAGAAGTGGCATGATAAACAATACAAGAAAGCCCACTTGGGCACAGCCCTGAAGGCCAATCCTTTCAGAGTTGCCTCTAACCTTTCAGAAGTGCTGGAAAAAGTAGTGGTTGAGGCCAAACAGCCAAATTTTGCTATCCTGAAGTGTGTCAGGGTTCAGCTCATCAAGAAAGGGAGGAAGATCACAGCTTTCCTGCCCAATGATGGCTGCTTGAACTTCATCGAGGAAAACGATGAAGTTCTGGTTGCTGGGTTTGGTCGAAAAGGTCATGCTGTAGGTGATATTCCTGGAGTGTGCTTTAAGGTTGTTAAAGTAGCCAACGTGTCCCTTTTGGCCCTGTACAAAAGCAAGAAGGAGAGACCAAGATCCTAAATTTTGACAGTGGAAACAGTAATAAATTTTCATATTCTGAAAATAAAAAAAGGATTGCTATGAGTTTGGGGCTAGCCTGGACTATACAGGGAATGTGAGTCTCAGAGAGGTCAAGGAATTTTCCTGAGACCACCCAGCCTATTGGATCATTTAGCCAACTGTGGGTCATGCAAGATTTTGGGAGAATGATAAAGAGATAAAGAGGATCGAATGTGGCTTGTAAACAGTAAGTTTGCCGGGTTCACATTTTCCCCTAAGAGTTAAAGATGCAGTAATCCTTACACTTTGGTGTGAGTAACGGTGTAGCCTCTCACATATCATAGGAAATCTTTATGTCTTTGGTAGCAAGGTAGGGAATATTGGTGGAAGGGAAAAAAAAAGGAGGGTGAGAGTAGTCTCTGGAGTTTTATGGTTTCTATGAAGAGCCAGCTGGAACCAAAGCTGGGAGGGAGGCTGGCCACTCTATTTAAAAAAAAAAAAAATCCCAGATGCCAGGCTGTGTTGGAGCAATAGAGAAGAAAACAGCTGACCCGGCAGGGCTGTCTTGGGAGGGAAGCAGAGAGCATGAAATTATTCTTCAAATCTTCCCAGGAGGTCAATTTCCCAAGATTATAAAAGAAAGGTAATTAGAGTGTTGATGCTATTTGGACCAGAGCAACCGGCAGGCAGGGGACACCTGTCACAACTGCAAACACTGCTTAGCAGAGAGGTTTGATCACAGTGTTCAGGATAGAGGAGCCACAAACCAGTGAAATCTTGGCCTAAAGAGGGCAAAGGACAGGCCCAGGGTGATACAGTGAAATGCACCCGTGCCTCTGCCCTTGGCAGCCTCTTTCTGCTACTTATATCTCCCCAGGAAGTATTCACACCTGGGGTTGGATCCTGGGCGAGTGACCAGGTGGTCTCTTCTTCGACATGACATGCCTTGGGTTCCCCTCCCCATAAAGGTACAGATTAGAAGTCCAGGGGATGGGTAAACAAGAAAGAAAATGCTGTGAAAGAAAGACAAGTATGCTTTGTGCCTTTGTGCTCTCCTCCCACACTGGTCTCCTCTTGGTGGTTCCTCCTACTGTTGCTCTGAGCCAGTGCAGAGTAGAGACCAGAGAGCAGGCTTCAATGGCGCCAGACGGCCAGGAAGGAACCTGCACAGCTTGAGTATGAGAGCGCGAGAGAGGACTGCACTAGAAAGAGGAGGCCGTTGTTTGACGCTGCTCCCAGGGAACCGTGAACAAATGACCACACACCCCAGATAGGGAAGCAACACTGGACCATAGTTCAGATACCATTGAAGTCAGACTTGGTGAACCATGAGTTAGTTTTACTGGGGTTGCTTACAGGAGCCGAAATGACTCCAAGACAGCTGCATCACCAAAGCCCATCCCAGCACGGGTGATAGCTCACAAAGCTGGGCACCTAGAGCATACTGCACAGCCTGCAGGAGGTTCAACAGGTGAAGAGTATCCTTTCCTGATGCCTCAGTTGATTTCTGCCTCTTTCAGGCAGAATGGCTCCTCTAAGAGTGATTCTCTTTACCACATATATCCTCCTGGAGAAGGAGGGGCCTAGTCAATCTGCTCAGTTTCAGGAACTTCCTGAAGCTGTCGTGAGTTGTTTACTTCCTGGGCCTAAGGAGATTGTCTGCAGGATGGAGTGTTTCACTACAAAGAGCTTCCCTCTGAGATGGAAGGTTGTAACCTCAGAGGGAACTTCTGCACAGCTGAAAGAGTGGGAGGGTAGAGAAAAAGGGGGAAGGAGTGGGGAAGGGGGAAGAAGAAGAAAAGAAAGTGAAAGGCAGAGAGTAGGAGAGGATTGGGGGGAGCCGGCCTTCCTCTCCACCCCCTGTGCTCTTGTCACCCCTCTTCCCCAAGAAGGAGCCTTGCATTGCTGCTCCTTGGCCTGTGGGTGGGGATCTGCCCGCCCTCCTTCCAGGGCCATAATTACCAGATTAATGATGGGAAACCACAGGTGGGTGGGCGGTGCCTCCTTTTCCTGACCATCTGTGGCTCTGTTCCAAGTCTTCCCCCAACTTGCTAACATAAAGGCTGTTTTGGTCCATGCATTAGGGAGGGAGAACAATGGAGCAGCATTGGGGGCATGGGCATCTGAGTCCCCGAGGGAGAGGCTCTGTCCTTGCACACTGTATTAATCAGGGTTCTCTAGAGTAACAGAACTTTTAGACTGAATCTCTCTCTCTCTCTCTCTCTCTCTCTCTCTCTCTCTCTCTCTGTTTCTCTCTCTCTCTCTACACACACACATACGGTATTAATTAGAATGATTTACTCGCTGTGGACAGCTAATCCAATAATGGCTGCGTATGTATGAAAGACCCAAGAATCCAGTTGTTCAGTCTATGGTCTTCAGTATATGCCTGGAGAATTCTAGTGAGTCCTAATTCTAGTGACTTATCATCCAGGACTCGAGGAAGCAGGCAAAGAGAGAGCAAGCTTCCTTCTTCCATGTCTTTTGTAGAGGCTGCCCACAGAAAGTGTGACCCAGATTAGAGGTAGATTTCCCCGGCTCAGAAGGTCTGGATTAGTAACGAATCTTCCCTGTTCAAATGGTCCAATTAAGCAAGAGTCCCTCACAGGTGTACCCAGCCACTTTTGGGTTTTAGTTAATTCCAGATGTAGTCGAGTCGACAACCTGGACAGTCATCATGCATGCACCTACCCAGCACTTGCTAGGCTTGGGTTTCTTGTGACATTTAAAGAGGAAAATTCTGTTGACATTTTATGTGGTAGCCCTCTGTTTGTGGGCCTTCAGTCCAGCCGAGTTGCCCAGTTTGTATCTGAGAGGGTGAGTGTGGATTGAGAAAGGGCCAGTACAGATGCTAAGAAAAAGACAGAGACACAGGATAGAGTCAAGAGGGCAACCCAGTGAATACTGAACACCCTAAGTTTATCTTCAACATTCTTAAGTACCCCAACCAAAAGGGGGACATGGCAGAAGACTTTTCCATCATGCATAAGTAACAAACAGACTTTCTTCCCTTAATCCTCCAAGCATTTGGTAACCACACCTGTCATCCGCCCTTGAGGATCAAGAGTAAACACACCTTGGCCAAGTCAGTTGTTATTTAGAGAAGACATCCGTTAACAAGACCAAAATATTCTGCAATAGCCAAGCCTTAGACCTTTAGGTCTTTTGACTTACTAAAGACAGTTTTGAACTCTCTGACCTTGAGGCAAGATGAAGTGGAGCCATCTTTATGGGCACCGACAGTTTTCCAACCCTGACTTTACTTCCCCAGGCCCCACCCCAAACATAGGCCCTGTAGCTTCCATCATGGGATGGAGGGTGTCCTTACTTCTGCCCTGAGCTCACAGTCTCAGCCACAGAGCCCACAATCCTTCAACACCCTGTCCTCTTCTTCCTTGCTCAGATGGGAAGACTGAGGCCGACAAAAAGCACACTGGTGTGTTCAAACCCACACAGAGGACCTGGTAGAGCTGCAGCACAAATCCTGGGCACCCCATTCTTTCCAAGAACCCCTTCCCCATCATGAGTATGCCAGGTACCTTGAGCCAGCCAAGTGGGGACTAACTTTTTAAAAATTATTTTTATACTTAAAAATGTGTTATTATTATCTCTGTGTGTGTGTGCACCTGTGCCTCAGCTGGCATGTGGAGGTCAGAGGGCAACTTTTGCAGTTGATGCTCTCCTTCCACCATGTAGGTTCCAGGGTTCAAACTCAGGTTATCAGGTTTGGCAGCAAGTGCCTTTATCTGCAAGCCAAGGGTGGTGGGGGGGCTGAAGGGAGAGGGAGGGATAGAGAGTGGAGGGGGAGCAGATTTTAGCTTAGGCTGGACAGGAGTTCAAGTTGATCCTCTGCGTGACAAAATGAACTCTATCTATCACACTCTACATCCACTAACCCCAGCTCCGCTTTTAGTTGCCCCCCCCAACGCCCCCTCAGCTGGTTCTGGCTTCTTTACTGAGGCCAGGGCAACTTCCAGGCTCCCCAGCATCTGGGTCTCTCTTGTGCCGACTCAAATCAGAACCTGCGCAGCACTGACCCCTGGTGGTGAAATGTGAAAACCCACCCACCCAGACGCTGCTGAAGAGTCCTGCCCCTGGGTGTGGGGTGCTGGAGCAGAAGGGGCTGGGCCAGTCAGAAGGGAAGAGCTGGTGCCAAGGAGAGAGGGCTTCAGGGGGTCTGAGCTCCTTGCTCTCAAGGCAACCATAGCAGAGTCTCCGCATCTGGGTGTTTTCTGGCCCACGGTGGACATGTGTGAAATCGCATTCCCCCTTTCTCATTGGCTTCCAGGATGCTCAGAACCAATGACCAGCCAGCTCCCAGCAGCTGTTCAGGGCAGAGCAATGGGTGTCTAGAATAATTACATCTCTTATTTTGTTTTCTTATTTTATTTTGTCTTGTGTAGCCCAGGCTGGACTATAGCTGGTTTTCCTGCTTCAGCCACCAAAGTGCTGGGGTTACAGACATGTGCCACCAACCCTAGGTGCCCTAGCTTATTTTATGTAATATTTTATTACTGGTATGTATAACTGAGTGTGGGTGTTGAGTGAACGTGTGTGCCTGTGTCTCAAAAGCTGGAGAGGTGGGGCAGGGCCATAGAGTCATCCTCAGGGAAGCCTCCTTTGAGGCAGGGTCTCTCATTGGCCTAGAGCTCTCCGATTAGATGTGGCTGGGTGGCTAGTGAGCTCAGAGGACCAGTTTGTCTCTGTTTCCCAGGGCTGGGAGATTAAACACAGTCCTACGGTTGTGCAACAGGCACTTTACCAACTGAGCCATCTTCCTAGTCCTCATAGTGTGTGTGATACTGGGTGTCAAATCCAGAAATCTGTGCGTGTTAGATTAGAACTTCCCCACTGGTCCATGCGCAGGTCTGATAGAATCTTTAAGGCTGTCTTAACTCTCCTCTTTGTGGAGTTAGGGGGACAAAGTCCAATACTGGTTTGGAGAGAGAATGCCCACACCCTGCATACCCCACACCTGCACACCCACAGCCTACACACCCATGCCCTGCACACCCCACACCTGCACACCCACAGTCTACACACCCATA